ATTCCCGCGCTCTCGGGTATCACCTACGGCTCGTGAAAATTTTGGCGGGCAAACTATTAACTCGGGAATCACCGAAAGATATTCACCCTTCAAGGTTTCGAATTCAACTTTCATGCGCTGGTGCGTTAAATTTTTAATTATTTTTGCATAGATTGATTTACAAAGCAGTGAAAATCATTAATAGGCAATCGTTCGATTGATTGAATTGCACAAAACGCATGATCGCACCGGTTAGTCTGGTGCTCGTTGCTATTTATTTTTAAAACTAAGCGAATGGCATCACTTTGACAGCGCGCGAAAAATTTTGCGTTGACCTTCGGTCGAACTTCAGCTCCCAGGGCGAAGTTTCTTTTCCAGGAAGTTTCATAAGCGATCTTCGCAGTGGCTGTGGCGAATTGCGAACTTATGCGCAGCTGCTTCATCAGAAAGACGTTGTTGCGAGGGCACTGATCAGACATTTGAATGACGTCGACAGTGCATCGCTGGTCACGTTGCTCCAGTAAGTAACACCCCTCTTATTTTCCTTGTGCATCACTGAAACGCATTATAGCCCGGCCGCTCCTGAGCATATGCGTCCAGCTTTAGACTTTAAAGCCCGGCATGCCGGAATTTTTCTTTTTTTTTTTTAGCGGTGAGATAGGGGGAAGGGGAGAGGGGCCCAAGCTGTAAACGAAAAAAAGCAGCTTTTATACTCTCTCATATTCTAACGTGAAATTTTCAATTTCTTGACGTGAAATTTTCAATGACCCGTGAAAATTTTCAAAACGTGACGTGAAAATTTTTTTTTTTTGACGTGAAAATTTTCTTGACGTGAAAATTTTCAAAACGTGAAATTTTCAATGACCCGGTATTAAACCAACATTATATTGCCTCACAAGCTTATTTTTGCTATTGAAATGCTTGCTGCAATACGACAAATAGATCAAACGGAATACACGGTGAGGGATAAAAAGAGTTAGCGTATGCTGTTGTTACATTAATTCATTTTGGGCCCAGAGCGGCTTCTCACAAAAACTCACAGCTGCAGTGCATGCCGATATTTCAAGTAAAACAGAAAAAGAGAACTTCAGGCACCAGAATCTGACTCCCCGCTGTTTGCATTCCTAATTTCGCCATGTTTTTTCACTTTTCCTCATCTCTACTCCTTTCATACGTTTTGTTCTTGTAGTTCTGCAAAGTATTCTGTCTTTATGAAGGGCTGGTTCATTGATACTCTCACTGATACATTCATAAGCCACGGCGACCTACTGCCATAGTATACCGTCGTTTCAGTTAATCTTATGCTTGCTGCAAAAATCTTATTTCTTTCGCACTTCTGCTGATCATCACTGGCCATGCTTATACCAAATTTTTTCAGTTTGA